TTAATGCCCTCTGCTGTCTCCTCCACTTGGCCCTTCTGTTCTTAAACCAAACCTTCAATCAGAGAGAAAAGGGAATTGCTTTAGTACATTCACCACTTAATGTCAGACATGAAAAAACGCATTGAATTGCACCAGCAGAAGCTATTTGCTTCTTTTCAAACCTCTCAGGACAGTTACCAGCAAGGCCCGCCCTTCAGCTCACCCTTACTGAGCAATGACTACCTGCCAGGCTCTGGCTTGATTTATGGCTTAGTCTCCCTCCTCCCACCTTCACTATCACCCCCGCCCCCCACTCAGATGCAGCTGGAGTTGTCGAACCGCACTGGGTCCCTGCTGCGATTACTGGGCCTGGTAGGTCTGCGTCCTGACAACTGGCCATCAGCTGCCAAGCTGCCACTCACCCCTACACACTAGGCTCGTGTCACCTCGGATGTGGACGGCACGGGAAAACGTGGCCGCCTTTAAAGTGACGCAGAGGGGGACAACTCCCATTTCCAAAAGCCCACCCTCTGTGTACAGTAAATAATCAATTAGAGTGTGTTGGACTTTTCAATAAAAGCTGTCCTCAAAGATGACTGAAGGGTCATTCATCCTCTGAAACCTCTTGATGGCTCAAAAGATGGAGATGGTTTGTGAGAGGGTCTTGGTCATGGGGTTCCAGGGAGATTGCGGCTTGTCTTGCTGGCACACCTTGGTAGCTGAAGCCCCGGACGCTGCCTTTCACATTAGACTTTAGGAATAATGAATGTTTAGAGCAACACAGCCCAAATTTACTACAACTCTTAAAGTCTTTGCCAGCCAAGAGTTCGGGGCTAAGAGGCACACCATGGTCGCCCTGCGCAGTTCCGCACTCTGCACCCTGCCCCGCCCTCCAGACTTTCCTGCGCTCGGGACAAGGTCAGCTCACTCTGCTCTGCCTGCAGGTGCAGGACCGCGGACCGCGGACCGCGAACCGCGGACCGCGGCCTCTGCTGCCGGGCATGGCTGGGCCCTCTAGTCCCTGCTACTCCGCCAGGAGATCCCCAGCCCGTCCCTTATGCTTCACATAAGAAGGTGCAACCTGTGTTTTAGGAAGACGGTCGACAACCACGTGGGTGAAGAGTCACCAAATGGCTCCTCCCTAAATATCTGCCAACTATGAACAACTGAAAATAAAACCTGTCCCGCGGACGCCACTGTTCCCTTAGCATCCCAGTTAATGGACTTACGTCCATTTTAGGGGGATCAGGTGTGCCAGTGGTCACATCTGCATAAGCAAAACGCAAAGCAGCCTGAACTGAGGTACAGGCTGGTACTACTTCCATTTTTCCAATACTGGTTTCATAAAACAAGTCTTACCGTATTTGCAAAATGTGGTGGGGGGCAGCCATTAAATTTTTCTTCTGTCAGACACAGAATAACAAATACTGTGTGATCTCACTTCCACGTGGAATTAAAAAAAAACCCTCAAACTCATACAAAAAGAGATCAAATTTGCGGTTATCACAGGCAGGGGATCGGGGAGGGGGAACTGGATGAAGGTGGTCAGAAGTTACAAGTTTCAGGTTATAAGAAAAATCAGCACTGGGGATGAAAATATAATTAATACTGCTCCAGAGTATATAGGAAAGCTGTTCAGAGACTAAACCCTCAGAGTTCTCATCACAGGGAAAAACTTTTCTTCTTTACTTCTGTATCTATATGAGATGAAGGATGTTGATGAAACTTACTGTGGTAATCATTTCATGAACATGTAAGTCACATCATCATGCTGTACCCCTTCAACTAATACAGGGCTGTCTGTCAATTACAAGTCAACAGAAGTGGGAAATTTTTCTTCGGGACATTCATGCTGTAGAGTTTGGCAACAGATGACAACAGTCTCTCTGTTTCCTCATTTGTTTCTTGTGGCTCCTTTTCCCCTCAGAACCCCATTAAGAGACCACGACGCAAACCCAGGAAAAGCAAGTCACCGAAACTTCAGTTTTTCTTTTCCTCTGAGCTCCCTTTGCCTGCTTGAGAAAGCAGAGGCCTGGGCCTCCCAAGCCCTGGCCAGAGCTGACTGTGAGCCCAGCCCGTGGCTTTAGGGCGCCAGCACTGCTTTCCAGACTCCCCGCCACCAGCTCTGCAGCCCAGGGCCATCGCAGCCCTCACACACGCTCTCTGCAGCAAAGCTAATGATCCCATCCTCATTTTTCTTCTTCTCTCTTTCTTTTCTTTTGCTTCCCCCCACCAAATCCTTCTCTGATAAAACTTAGGCTTTTCTACGGGCTCGGATAATCACTCCTGATCCATTGACCCACAAATTGGTCATCACTGACTGAGCAAGAGAAAAACTATTTCAAACTATCAAATGTAAGACTCCAGCCTGGCCTGCGGTGGGGGGTGGGGTGGGGTTGTGTAGCTCGAGTGGTTCAGCACATGCTTAGCATGCACGATGGCCTGGCTTCAATCTCCAGTACTTCCATCCAAAAGAAATTAAATAAATATACCTAATCACCTCCTCCCTCCCCCCAGATGAGCTCTGAACTAAGAGCCATCCCCCACCATCAACAATTCCATGCAACCCATCTCTTCATAACAGCACCACAAAAACAAACAAGAGACCTCAAGTGCTAGAAATTCCTCAAGAGAATATTCACGAATGCATCTGGTAGTCTCAAAACTTTGACTGTGTGAGATACCTGCCTGGCATACGTTCCACTCTTGTATAATCATTTCCACTCTGTATAATTCGTGCTTAACTTCCACCTTCCTTAAGTCAGTGGAACTCTGTTGGAAATTGTTGGTTCGGTTTGTTTCACTTTTACACATATTTCAAACGCTGCAACTCACCCTCCCACCTCCACCGTGACGCCCAACCTATTACGTCAGCAATGCTTTCGGGCTGGCACATCAAAGAATTCCAGAAAATTAAGATTCAGGGCTGCTACTGTCTACACTGCTTTACCACACACTTAGAAACAGCAGCAGGAGAGGGCCTCTGACCCATGGGGCTGTGAGTGGGGGGTTCCTTTTTCTCCCCACTCCAGTGGGTGAATACTTATAAATTCACCCCTTCTGCAAAGAGCTTATGCTTGGTTTTAAATAATTTAGTATAACTGGGCTCTTCCGTGTATTAACTGAAGAATTTCCACTTCTGATTAACCCCAGTGTGACGCCACACAAAAGTGTTACCTCAAGGATACCGGTGTTTGAAGGAGTTGAACTCTGTGTGTGTGTGTGGTTGTAACTCGGTGACATATATGGTTATATAGGTATAGTTTATACAAAGGTGTATATATATAGATAGATATATCTATCTATCTATCTATCTATCTATATATATATATATCTCGACATGTACACGTATATGCCTTTGTATACAAGGAGTAGCATAGTCCGGGAATATTTTTTCTTCTTTTGGGAAAGCCTGTCCCTCTGATAATAGGCAATTTCCAAAAGTTGGGGTTAACTTATCCCATTTACCAAAGGCCAAGACCCCAAAGTTCAAACCTTATTTCCCAATCATGGAAAAGGCAACAACAACAACAAAAAAACCAATGGGAGATGTCTAGGACAAGGTGTCCAAGTCATGAAGCGGGCTTTACAATGCCTGCCCTACAAGTTGAAATTTTTCAGGTTTTTACTGACCTGCAGTTTGGCTTCAGTCACTCCCATGCGTCTTGCAAGATCCTGGCTGTGGGGAGAAAATCAGAAATGTTTAGTATTTGCAGCTGTGGATGAAATTAAATGTAGGATGTTATTTCATCCTTTAAAAATTTTTTTTCCTCTAAAGTGTCAGTGATTTATTTTGTGAACAAATTTCTGGAGTACGTAAACACACTTTTTCAGGATTTACAATGACATTATATTGACAAAACGTTTAGGGAAAGCCAAGTGTCATGGCTAAAAGAGGCACAGTTCTAGAAACACATCACATTTTACTTAACACTTTCAGTGATACCAACATCAAAATGAATAAAAATCTCGGTGGAAATATCTTTACGAACATTTTTTTTAACATTGCAATTGCCCGTTTTATGGTTTAAATTAAAGCCTTGAAATAGCTTGCCCAACAAATCAATCGATCGATCTATCAGTGATGAATAGGCTGGAGTACATCCTAGTAGGTTCGAACGGACAGCGCAAACTGCTCTTCACTCTTTGGTTGACTTTTTTTTTTTTTTAAATCAGCAACACCCCTAGTGCCGACCTAGTATACTACTCTGTAATATGTAGCTTGAGGCTTGCTTTAGAGACAGTTTTCTCTCGAGAGTAAAATTTAAGGGGATGGAGAAAAGTCACTAATCAAGATAAATACTTTGGGGGGGGGAGGTAGAGAGCTCAGTGGTAAAGCGCGTGCATAGTATGAACGGGTTCCTCGGTCCACTCCCCAGTACTTCCACCACAAAGAAACATACAAATAAATACAACTATTTACTCCTCAAAAAGACAAACAAAACATAATAAAAACAAACAAGACTATTTTTAAAGATAAATAACTTTCAAATGCAGTATTTTAAATATACAAAGCAATGGGGAAAAAATCTATGATGAACAGGTTTATCAAAATTTTAAATAAAGGTAGGATCCTATCTTGATTTCCTCCACCTCAAGCTTCTCAACTTTGTCTCTGCCTTGGTTCTAACAGAACATTATTTCTGTTAACCGGCAGCCGACAAAGTTTCCGCACATGATTTGTTGAAATGCCGCACAGAAACACTCACCCGCATTCCCGCGGGGCACAGCCCGGACCCCCACCCTAGGACCCGAGGGCCGTGGGGTCCCGACAGCCGCCAGGCTCCGGGGGCTCTACCGCCCCGCGCGGAGGAGAGAG